TTTACAATATTAAAAATTTTTATGCATAATTACAATATTTTGTGTGTAATAAAAGTATTATTATGAATATTGACAAGCGAAAGACACCGGAGTATCTCACTCGTACTAGTAACAAATGTGTGAGACAGCGAAAGGACACCGCGAGCAGGCATCCACGTCCAATTACGCTTTCTCTCTCGATCGTGCGCCTTACGCTAAGGATAGAATATCGGAGCGCGCCCCACTACTTTCTCCCTCCGCGCTCCACGCCTCCTCCGCGCTCCCAGTAACACGTACGTGTGCGCTCGGTACGAGTGTGTAGCGCCGCGCGCCGAACGCCGAGGGACAGCATTTCTGCCGGTGCGTGTACACCGAGTGACAAGTGTTCTTCTTCTTTTTCCTAATTTAATGGCACTCGTCGGCGAACGCCAACGATACGGCCAGTATCAAATTTGACGACCTGTAAACAATGAGAAAAGATGTAGAAATTAATTGTACATCTCATCTGTTCAGAATAATTTTACACGAAAATAACGTGTTTCTATCATAATACCGAATTGCCATCTTTTGCTCTATATAAAATTATCTCGGAACTTCATAGAATTTTCCAGCAGTTTTTCCCACTCCTCGAATTAACGGCTTACGCAGTAAGACGGTCGTTTGTAAGAACCGGAAGCCAACTTTACCTCTTGCTGTCTAGCTGGTATTTCCGTTCCTGCCGCGAATCACTCCCGTCAACATCATAGTTCTGCCGTGCGTTTCACTAAGAAAATTGACAATGTCGCTCGCGCACCAAACTCGCGGAATCTCTGCGATCACTGATGTACAGTCAGTCAAGTAAGAGCGTGGTCGTGTAAATTTATAAAAAAATTTATTAAATGAAATTTTTATATTTATATATACATTGTACTCAATACAAACAATGATGCAATTATGTTAACAATGTGTCCAGTCACCACCGGCGTCGATAATTGCCTGGCATCTCCGAGGCATGCTTTCGACTAATTTGACGGCGTATTCTAGTGGCAACGATCTCCAGATCCGACGAATTTCGCAAAATAACTGCTTCAAAGTGTGTGTGCGTTTTCCACGAAGCTTCTGCTTAATATATGCCCACACATTTTCGATGGGGTTTGCATCGGGCGACTGCGACGGCCAATCCAATGTAACGATGCCAGATTGCGTCTTCCACTCGGTACAGAGCTTGCTGCGGTGTTTAGGATCGTTGTCTTCCTGCAGAATCCAATCGTCATTTTTTCTGATGAACCAACGTTTGACAGACGGCAGCAAAGCCTTTTTGTAAATTTGCAGCATTCCCTCGGCATTTAGGTTGTAGGTAAACAGGTGCAAAGCGCCGAATCCCTGCTTTGAGAAGCAGCTTCAAAGATGCACCTTTATTCCGTGTTTTACGGTCCGCTGGACAAGCCTGTTGATGGAAATTGACCAGGCTCGCGTGAGGACACAACGCGCCCATATAGAACATTCATCAGTAAAAATTACATTGTCAAAATCTCTATCGATATTCTCATGCGCCCAAGCGAGTCGCTTCGTCACATGTTTTTCAGTCAACAGAGTCATCATTGTGTTGCGAAATTTCAGGTCATGAGCACGGAGATGAGTTCGGATAGTTTCGTACGATATATCTAAACCTTTTGACTTTAATTTTGCTTGTCCTTGCCGCAGTGTTAAAGCAGGATTCCGCGAAAAAAGATTCACTATTTTTTTTTCGTCTTTTTTGTCCACTT